AATTTGGATATCGTGAAACATCTTCGTCTAAGAATTGTAAAGTGTCTACAAATGATATGGAATAGTGCGAACATTAATCTGTCATCCTACAAACTTATTGAATAGCGTAATGCACTCAAGATGTCATCCTACTCATCACAGTGATGGACTAGAACGAGCATTATATTATGATAATTCCATGTAATGTTTTTTTTTTTTGCAATATACAAACCGCATATACGAGATGTGTTCTAGAGAAAACGACATGCCACAATAACGGTATTCTGCCACGATTAAGCAGGTAAAGAGCGCGTCGCTAGAATACATCAAGGTCATAGCGTAATCAGCGCATATCAGATTTGCTTGGAGGATTGAATAAAGGCGCTGGTTTACAAGTGTATGATGCCTTATTGAGGGATTTCTTTGTGGGGGGACAGACACAATTAATGAATATTTTTCGAGAAAAATAAAAGGCCGCCTTATATTATGAACACACTTTGTATATTTAAAGATTTCATTTAGAAGCGATAATAATTCACATTTTCCTTTATTTATTTACTTATTATTTTTCCCTACCCATACATAATCGTATATATATATAGTACCTAGAAAAAGGCATTGACCCACAATTTTTTAAAGAATTTTCTCGCATTTTTTTTTTTTTTCTATAAACACGTAATAACTTTATAAAAATAAAAAATGTGTTTACCGTCAAAATGTCTCATTATCCATCAAATAACGAAACGTTCTAAATTTCCGGGTGTCAGTCAAAATGTGGAAGATGCCAGTGTTAAATGCCAGGCATTTAATTTAAGACAACAATAACCAAATGGAGCGAAATTTATTTTCATTTCAACAAAACTCTTTCGCTTTGTCTGTCGTGTTCGGTGGTGATATCCAAACAGAACAGAAAAAAAATGAAAATGAAATATCAAAAAAAAAAAAAAAAAGGAAAAAAAAAACAAACTGACTGACATCGCAATATCTGCGTACATATATAGTTTCATGTCAAATATATATATATATATATATATATATATATATATAAAGTAGACACGTTGGGTGGTAAGTGTTTGCAGTCATATATGTGAAATGAAAACAGCAGATATGTTATGTTTCATAAAAGAAAAACCTAAACATGATCTAAAAATAAAAAAAAAATAAAAAAAAAGCAGAAAGAAGAACAAACGAATCTGAAGGTAACGAAAAACAGGCAGGCAGGAAACCTCATCCATCTTTGTATCCGTAATTCCGATATCGGTCGTCTTCCTCATAGAAGCTATCCATTACATCTGTTTACTTTTTTTAAGGTTATAAACTAAAATTTTTCTCTATTTTTTTTTTTTTTTCACTATCAAAGTCGCCGTTTAATCAAGGACATTGGAAACTTTTTTACAGTATTTGTAAAGTATAGAGATTTTCTTTTTTTGTAAGATTTGATATTTACATGAATTAGAGCTAAGAGCTAACTAACTTTTTAATAAGATAAGAATTCTTTCAATAGCCAAGCAACTAAAAAATACCTCGTAAACTAAATTAAATCAATAAAGAGTAAGTTTATGTAAAGAGCTTATGGCGACAAAAGTTGTATGAGATGAATTCGTTGATTACGCGCCGCTTGAAGGAACGGTATGCGACTATTTGCTGTGCTTTAAGATGGGGAAAGTTTATCTACTTATAGGCGATTATTGCGACAATGGACAAGAGTTGGACCCAAACGACGCACTTTAACAAGACAAGGAACTTCATTACGGCATCTAGCCAATGAGTAAGTTCAAGAGAGGAGGTCGTCTACACAAACTTGATAAATTTAAAATTGCAAACAAATTGTAGCGAAAAGCAATGAAAGATTTCAGCACGAAATTTTAAGAATCTGCTGTACAACTAGCACAAATTCGATGCGTGTATATACATTTGTGATAATATAGCTCGTCATACCTACCGCACGCATATATCTATGTACTCATCGGAGAGTTGTTTTACAAATGAAAGGATTGAGTGTTTTTATATTTTTAAAATACAAAAAGCAGACACACATTGTCTAGGGCTTCTTAAGAAAACATGATTCAGTCAGTCAGTCAGTCAGTCAGTCAGTCAGTCAATCCAAATGTGATGTAAAGAAAATATTGAATTACACACAGGACAAAAAGAGAAATCATTATCAGCTTAAACCGAATTTTTGATAGCTCATCGCTTATTCGTTTTTGTCAGTTTTCAACGAATGCTATTGTAAGCGCGTGAGCATCCTATAATATGAACTGAATACTACTTTGTTCACTATGTAAGGGGAAATCTTGATTTTAAAAAATACACTCGCTTCAAGTATCGATGTATGTTTTTTTCTCTATTTGTTAATGTTTCAAAACATTGGATTTCTTACTTTACAAAACGCTTTTTTAAAAAAAAAACAAAAAATATTCCCCTAATTTTTTGAACACATTTTTATTCCTAATATATGGCAACGTTCTTCAACTGTTCGAATGCGATCTGTAGTCAACAATTAAAACCGTGGACATGCCAAGCTTCAGCAAGAGAGAGAGCAGACAGACGAGCGGATAGTCGGATTGGCAAGTGACGAACAATAAGACAGTTCAACAGATAAGTAGCGAGATTGAAATGGCTAATCGAACTTGTCGTCTTACCTTAATGAGAAATATCTATCATTAGTGGCGTTTCACCTAAAAACTTGTGGGCGTTCACATCAGTGCCATAGTCTCCCCGTTATGGATAAATACGTGCCGTATAATTAAATTCATTGTTCTAGATAAAGTCAAACAGAGCTAAATGGAGAAATTTTATCTGATTTCCCCACTGATCCAAAAACAAAAATATGTGTGCATTAGTGCTTCACACACATTTGAGAATATTCCTTTCACAGGAATACAAGCCAATGGATGTTTCTTGGTTTGCGTAACAGTTTTTCAGTAATGTACGACCTCTAGAACAGTAAAGCTATAGAATAGCAAGTGGGTATGAGCGGCCTTGTAAGGGAAACAAGTGGCAAAGTGTATGAACAAGTTGCTAGTCATCTAATAAGCTAAAGCAGAAAAGCGTTGATGACGGTCGAATCGATTTGGACAAATAAGGCACCCAACGAAACGAAACAATTTATCTCCCGATTGTCTAGACTCGCACTCACTGCTATCAACTCGTCGTTAAGCTCCCGAATGACTGACTGATGTTATAAAAACACAAACTGATGCACATTTTATTTTAGCCTAACTTAGGAGCCTTGATACAATTGCCAGAGCTCGTTTTAAGGGAAGGCCGCATTATTTATTGTGAGAGAAAATGCAAGAAAATAAAATCGTTTGATCACTGCACATACACTTACCATTCCATCTGCATATGTATGTACGCATTGGAAGTAGGACTTTTTGGCAATTTTTGAACTGATTTTAAAAATGACTCGTAGAGTTTTCCTCTTGCACACATCATCGATTGATGAGCGGCATATTCACTTTGTCGAAATGTTTGAAACGCGTAGGAAAAAGGTTCAGCGGCTCCGCAAAGCCTATATATTCTTGATCAGCATCGTATTTGCCAATCTGTCTGCCCAATGAATATCGGCTTCAAATTTCATTAGAAGTCGTTACAGGCCAGAACACAGACTGACACCCACACAATCTCTGTGTTTGAAAATCAAAAAAAAATATTGGTTCATCTTCTTTGCACGTTTCGCATAAACCACAGCAGAGAAACGAAACAACATATCAAATATATTTATTTTACAAAAATGGAAAACATCAACCAGGCCCACCCAATAAAATAGTATAAGAAAACTTAGTTTTTTGATTTTTTAGAGTCTTCTTTAAGATAACGGTAAACGGTGAACCGAAGATTCGATGCCAGCCAGATACAATTTTGTTGATTGTTAAATTTTACATTTTTTATATAGATATGTCTATATAATATACATATTAATAAATTTTTTTCGGAAGGCTTAATATTTTTTACATTGCCTAATATATATATATATATATATATATATGAAAAGAATATATTTTTCGATGGGTTACTTATGAAGCGATAAACTAAATAAAACACAGATCTTTGAAACCAGTAATATATGAAAGAAGAAAAAATAACAATGAATAAAGCAACAGCAACAACAATGTTATGTATATATATATGTATATATATGTAAACAAAAACATTTCAAATACACGGCGTTGACACAAGAATACACGATAAATGATAAAACAACAACACCATACTGACAAGGTAGATGTAGCGTCAGACGGACTAACGAACTGATAGAGAATACATATAACGATTGTAAAAATAACCAACGCACACCACATTAATACAATATATATACATATATATATATATATACATATATATGTACTCGAGTAGATGATGCACGCATAGACAAGCATTCGCATACATCGACAAAAAAGCTTTTCAGCACCGACAATACACAGTTGCGGTGGCACACAATGAGTAAAACGCTGCTATGCATACAATCGTATACAAATCACCGATTAATGTTGTGGTAGCTTGGATATATACACACACAGCAACATAAACACTTGCTCATTCCAATAAAAACCCATAGTCTACCACCAACCACCATATATTATACGAATATTATACATATATTTAATATGCATATACATGCATGCGTATATATATATATATATCTATTGGTACGGCGGTGAGTTTCTTTTGCCGCGCTATAAGAAAAAGCGTAGGTATAAAAGTTGGGCGCGAGACAGGAGCAACTACATGGCTTATCTATTTTGCATTCTATTGCTATCTTTTTCGCTTTCACATTTCGACTGGCGAGTACAGGAAATATGAATTTTCGAATTTCACTTAACATGCGCTCTCGCTCTTTTCTCAATCTCATTAAATTAATTCGAAAATTCTCCTGCCTTAATTGCATATGTGTGCGTTCTCCTTCGCCTTTTGCATTCTACATATTCCACAAGAGAGCAAACTAATCTCTGCGATTCTCTGTGCTATTCGAAAATTTTTTTTTGCTTTACTCAATTGAAAGCATTTCACTCTCTTACCTTATTAAATCCGGTAGGCGTTCCAAGATCTTAGGGTGGGTGTGCTTTTTAGTATAGGAAGGCGACATTGCCACTGTGCATGCCAGCATTAATTCGGTGGATAACTCGACAGGATGTTGTGGTGATTTTTCTTCGGGAAGCTACAATAACAAGAGCAATAACAACAAGAAAAAACATTATAAAAAAAAAAAAAAAATCATTAAAAAGAAAGGAAAGAAGTAAAGAAATAGGATTAAAGAGAGATTTTGTTATTATTTTTCTTTGGTTGGATTTTAATATCTTCGTTTATTACAGAAATTTTAACACATACAAATACTTTTTTTTTTTACGATTTTTGCCGTTGTTGCAATTTTCATGTATGTATATATATATATGTATATGAATACATTTCATACGGTATAGGTTGTAGTATAATAAAAGTAAAAATAAAGAAATAATAATAATAATAATAATAAATACATAAACACAAAAAATACTAAAAACACAAAGAAAAAACAAAAAAAAATATTAAATGATGATAAGGATAATAGCAACAAGGGCCTTGCGTGATGAATGTAAAAATTACGCCTTTTTTTTTTTTAAATCATAAAAATTCTATATGAAATAAGATTATATAGGACGCGCAATATATTACGAGCCATGTATTTATATAAAGCACGTATACGCACATAAGTAGATTTATAAAGAAAAACAAGCGAAAATAAGACTATTGCTTATGATCATTATATGTTACAAATGACGTCAATCTAACGGGCATTATTAATTATCGTAAAACGGTAAACTGTAGCCGACAAATATAATAACAATGCAACAGTGCACAGTGGACAAAACTCGCTCAACTAACTACGGACAAGATGACAAACTTTGTTGGCAGAATACGAGTACGCGAGTACGAGAAAGTCGGACTTGCGTGACTGAAAAACAATTGTTGAGCGCCTTTTTCATAAAGATACTATGATAGTTGGCTAGAAATCAAAGTCAACTACTTTTTGGATCATTACTATATATAACTTTGATATATTGACGATTGGTTTCTTTTCGCTGTCCTCTATCCTCTGTCCTATTTTCGAACTGTAAGGTAAACTTTCTGCGCCGGACACGATACACATAGTACGTACTATGCAAAATAGTTCAATAAAGTTGGACTTTTAGTCACCGTACTTATGGTTCTTTTTAGTTATAAGAAACAGGAAAATACTTAACAATCTGCACAAGAGAGCATCATCTCCCTGTTTCACTACCTATATGCATGAAAATCGCTAACTGAATAATAAGAAAACATTCCGTGTTAAACTGTTGTCAAAATCAGCTGATATAATATATGGCCTGACAGTACGTGCTATGCAAAATAGTTCAATAAAGTTGGACTTTTAGTCACCGTACTTATGGTCCTTTTTAGTTATAAGAAACAGGAAAATACTTAACTATCTGTACAACAGATCATCATCTTCCTGTTTCACTGCATATATGCATGAAAATCGCTAACTGAATAATAAGAAAACATTCCGTGTTGAACTGTTGTCAAAATCAGCTGATATAATATATGGCTTGACAGGATATATTGCACAGCCGTCTCTCGTACTATAAACGTTATTTACATATGTTTTATCAAAAGTTTTCGCACTAAAATAAACTAATTTTTTTAATAGTTATTTTTGTTCTATTTGTCTTAAGTCACTTTCGTTTGCTGGATAAGTCTTTCATGCGCTTAAATTGTTCGTCATTTTCTTTTATCATTTTTTTCATATTCGAAAAGCAAGAAAAACTTTAGCCATTGTTTGCTTTTCCGCCCTTTGAAAACGTGCTTGGTCTTGGCATGCGGAAATCCAAAGAGGTCTCTTAGGACATTTCAAGATTTCTGAACCCATCTTTGGTGATCGATTACAATACAATCGCTTTGCATTTCTTAGCCTCCAACAAGCAATTGCAGGTGCGTCGTCAAGTGAACGTCACCATGAGGATCACAAATTTATTATTTGCATTATTTTCGCGTACTTTTTCGTCTAAAGATTATCAATTTTTTTAGCTTTACGTAAAAATTAATTATCTTTTTATTCTCTATACATGCAATAAATAGATGAGATTAACTTTTGCTGAATTTACTTCATTTTGAGACATCCATTACCTATACTAAAATTTATTCTACTCAAACGGTTTCTCAAATTCATTGCTCAGGGAATTAGCCTTCGCTATTTAACACCGCGATGATCGCAAGGAAATGGGAAGAGAAAGATGGAGAGTGCTTGCAACCTGGCACTCGCCCTTTATGGGCAGGGCAATCGTTACAGCTGCGACAAATTGTAATCAAAGCATGATCTACTGCACTAAGAAGTAAACCCGGTTAAGCCAAGTTAAGAGGCCCGGTTCTTACCTACTTGGCTAAGCAATAACCCGCTACATCCAGTCAGTATATTCCTCCATCGTTTTACACATTGATCATTTGTGGCATCATATAGTCTATTTAATAGGGTAGGTGTTGTAGTTACACCAATTGAGCACTCAGTACAGCCGCGCTAAGAGCGACCGTCACTACTCCTACCTAGTTTGCCATTTATTGATTTATTTTGATTTTTTCTGCTAAATCCTCTTATTATCAGTAACAACTAGTCACATACACTTTCGCCCTTTTTGGACAGGGTTGGCAGAGAATTAAGCAAGGTTGAAAAGAAAATCGCTTTGTGCATGAAAATAATTTCGCAATCTCTTGTGAATTGATTTGATCTGACCGCATGACACCCAGACGCTCATCGAAGTTTCGTGAACACAGAGTCAACATATTTTAATTAAAAATCTTTTCCCACTCAATTTGCAAGGGCGAGCATTTTTACAGGACAGCAATTTACTTCTAACACGATCTCCGGAAGGCAAAGCGAAAATGACTTAAGTCTCCATAAATAACGATTGTCCCAAAATAATCCATATTTTTAAGTGTTGTGACTGTTCCTTCGCAGTAGAAAGATTGGAAAAATGTCAGAAAAACTACAACAACAAAATGCTTTGGTGTTTCTTATAACACCCTCTTAGCCCGTCCGCACTATACAGTTATCCTTCTGTCATGTGAAAATATTAGTCCGAGTGAGGACGCGAATAGAATGTAATCAATATATATATTTTTTTCTAGTGAAAGCCCGATATTTTTTAGACTTTGCATTGGCGGAAGTATTTTCAACTCATTTCGCATATTAACATATCTGTAGGTGCGCGCATATGCTTTAAGTCAAATACATCATCATATTCATCCGCCAGCAGCACACAGAGTATATATAGAAAAGTTTCTATTTACTATTCTTTCAATATGTGTGTTTAGTCACTTAACTCCTAGTTTTAAGCGTTATTTCTCACTTTCCACGTTTATTTATGACAACTGTTGCGCTCCTCCAAAGTAATATCATGACTAAAACTAAACTTTACTATATTCATCCAGATTTAAAAAATGTGATTATTAAACAATCAAATTCTTAGGTATTAAGTGATTGGAAGTAATTAGCTTGTTCTCCTTATTGCCAATAAAGGGTAATTACAACTTGGTTACAGTTTACAGACACATGACGATGCAGAGAAGAAGCATTTAATTGGTTTGTGATATTTGACGAATGGATGCCAACATCTCCGTAGCAAATGCCTTACAAACCCTACTTTCCCATCAACCACATTTTAAATAAGAGGAATCGTGAAACTTACGCATCATTACCCACAAAGTTATGGCTTTAAATTCAAGTCCCGAATAGCGGTTCAGATCGCTTCCACTTAAGTCGTTCGTTAAAACAAAAGTATTTTTCAGTTAATATTTTAGTACATTATAGCCACATCTCCCTTTTGTGGGCACTTTTCAATAGATACCAAATAATACGTTTTACAGGAATCTTTTTAAATAGCACAGATATCTACGTCTATAGTATGTATGGAAATAAGGAAATGTGTCTGCAATTGCGATTCAGTTCAGACCGCTGAACGTTACTTTTGAAATGTAGTGAAACAGAAGTCACTAATAAACATCGGTAACTTGGTCACTAATCGTCGGAATGTTATCAAATTTTGGCATATATCGGTCTAAATTTTATTGGTACCATGTGAACGTCACATGGATTCACCAAGAGCCACTCTACATATGGTTGGCGGGAAAGTTCTTCCATCGTGTTTTACTATCTACAGGGGATTGTGCTTGCCATGTCAAGACAAACACATTGAATGATTTATATGGAATCTTATTATTTAATATTCCTCTACGGTATATATATATATAAGCTTTAAGACCATTCATCAGTTAGTTACGATATGCATAGTGAATAAAGTCCAATTTGACTACGAATAGTTTTATGCCATAAAAACAACAAAAGTGTAAAGCTTGCTACCGAATCGCAACAGATGGCAGCAAAATGATCCTGATACTACACAAAGAAGAAATCGCTGCACATATGACGGTAGCTTTTTAACTTGGACAACGAAGCCGAATGTACTTGGTAACCCGATTCAGGGAGATTAGTTAAGAGCGATTCGTTATCGACTCATACTCGAACGTAACGAAATTATTGCTGAGGAACACAACCGATGACAACTAATATAATTGCTCTCATCGTTACAAAGAAAGCGGCTGTTATAAGAAAAAAAACGTTAGAGTTTTGGCCTTATGTTGCAGGCCCTGTCTAGGTATCATTTGCAATAGTGCACTACCATCATCAACAGACACTCCACCTTAACACCTGCAATGCTTCCGTTCTTATAATGACATTCAAAAAATGAATGCTTACATGGACTGCGTCAATAAAGTATCTGTCATTATTATTATTATTATTATTATTATTATTATTATTAATAAATATAGCCAGAGAATAAATTCTAAGACTAAAAGACTTAAAGCACTAGCATCTAAGGCTTTCGGCTTTATTAAAAACTCTACCGTACTTGAGATTTGAACTCAAGACCGTTGAGTTGCTAGTCGAGACTCTTGTCTACTCGGCCACTCAGGCGGATAGTATCTGTCCTTATGGCTCAAATTCATCTACTCTCGAAATAAGTGCCTTTTTATTAATAGAGATTAGTCTTAGAATTTGTTCTCTGGCATATAATGCCTACATACGATGCCTGTAATTTTCAAATATTCATTGGACAAAGACCAAAGTGGGAAATGTGTTGAAGATCAAAGTCACCCCAATAGAAATCTGCGAAATCCTACCGGTATGGCATTGTCTCTCCCTGAACTCTTTTGAACGTTACAAACGGAATGACAATATTAGTATGACCACATCCTTTGATGGTAAACGTAAAGAAGGTTATATTTTCTTAAATGTTGCGATTCTTGCCAAAATTTTTTTTGGTAAATTCATAAGTAAATGTTGCTGAGCATCACTAACCATCGTCTTGCAAATATAAGAAGACGGATTGCGTTTTTATGAAAGCATTACGGACATGCTTTTGGGCTATCAAAAAATCTGTGAGATATGCTTTGCCATTGCGTTTGTAACATTTATAAATCAAGGTAAGGTTCTCAATCCTTTGCATGTGTTCGTCCATCTGGCCTGGTTACTGGAACTATTAAAATTGTAACAATTGAGAGCACAACGTGAATTTTGGATGATAAGATTGACTCTGACGTTAAGTTTGATAAATCTAGACAATACTCCTTTAGTTCCTCCTCCCAATATAGAAGATAAGCAATAAAAAAACTCGCCCAAAAAGAAAAGAAGAAAATGAATGCTTTCGATCAATAGGTCATCACGAGAACTATCAATGAAAACTTTCGTTTCGTTTCGTTTTTTGCGTTTATTTTTCTTAAATGGAGGGTGCGCGTAAAATTCGCCTCAAGACGAATAAAATTTTCTTCATTTATTGTTTATCGAATCATGACATTAATGTTGAGTGGGGCGCCGTTCGATAAAATTCCAATAAAAATAAAATGTCACCAAAGCGCAAGACAAAGTCTTAAGAGGCAAATGCAAATAAATTAAATCAAATTAAGCTGAGCCCGAAAGTGTTCAGACATACTGTCGTTAACAACACATTTCAACAGCTTTATAATAAACAAATTTTTTAATAGCAAACTCATAAATGTGTCCAAATCTTTTAAATTGTAAATAAGAAAAAAATTCTTCATAATTTTTTTAAATTTTAAGCAAATGCGTAAAGCATAAAAAGGAAAATGTACGCACGCAAGGAACAAGAGGCCCTTTTTTATATTTCAAATTCAACTTTGTTCACTTTGTTACTCGTCCTTAAGCTATGCTGCTGAGGAGTTTCTTTTCCATACCCTAGGCAAGTCGAAATGTCCCGTGAAAATACATATAATTCGTGAATCATATAAAAAGCGCAAGAAGTTTCTCATTCATATCTATTTGTGTATGTCTATCCCTCTTTCATACTTACCCCAAGAAGAACAATTGTATACAATACATATTTTCTCGACCAATGTAAAGTTCTGAACCCAATTCGTTAATCCGTCAGTCCATCTTCGCCTCCGACCTTGCGGCTGGCTTTTATCGGATTCATGAAAGTAATCCCAAGTCTTGGTTCAGCTAAACAAATTGAGCTTAAAAGTGAATGCGATCATAGGTAAAACAGCTGAATGGCGAAGTCTCTAGAAATCCAAAGAAAAAATAGTGGAAAGACTTCTTCCTTTTAAATGAGCGAGTTGCGACAAGTTTCGCACTGCATGCCTTTGTAGAAACGTGGAAATGCGACAGTGCCGATTGATTATGTAAATATTTACGCAGTAGCCCTTACTTTAAGCTCAAGCTTTTGAAGTGAGTATAATTTTGCAATTGGGAACAGTACGGCACTGTCAAATACTCTCAGATGCACGTTGTTCCCCAAACTGAAACCTAACTGCTGCTACTATTTTTAGTATTATAATTACATTAACATTATTATACTTCTGCTTCTTTATCATCAATCTTAAGGCTAACCGCCTTTAGAAGTAACACTGTAATGATTAGAAAAAAGTTAGAGAGAGAGAGAGAGAGAGGCTAGCTTTCGTAGTTATTTCGCAATGAAATTTCTATTCCCGTATTTCGCGCCTACCTTGCCCCGACTTGCCAAGGATTCCCGCTTATTGGAATGTAGTAAGTCACTCGCTTCTTTTTCATCAGCACTTTGTTACAAGCAGAATTAATCGCTACGGTTTTGTCTATAGCCGCACAGTCCCAGATAGGCCATCACAACTAAACTTGCACACGATCACTTGAAACCATACCATAAGGTATTTAAAGATAACCACAACTTTCGCGTTATAAAAAGCAAACGAATAAAATAAAATTTTGCAAATAAAAATTAGGAAAGGCCACAAAACAATACTAAAAAGCATCTGTAAAACTAAAGCTCATTTTGTCGTGAGAGAGAGAGACAGAGACTTTTTCACCTTAAGAGTCTCGAGAGCGTTTTTCGCTAGAGATTGCTCGGAAGCGATGTTTTTAAATAACCTTACAGCACTTTAACGACTAAGTTAAACTCCAGCTTAAGGTTATTGCATCTGATGAAAATTATTTTTAAATAAATCATAAAAGCTTTAATGGTTAACTAATATATATTTTACCACTTTTAAACAATTTCCGAAAATTGCCCGATTGAACGATTGTGTATGTATATATATACATATTTACGCAATTTTAAATGTGAGAAGAGAAATAGTCAAAACATAAAGCAAAAGATTTAAAAAGCATTCTCAATCGAAATTTTCTTAAATAAACAAATCAGAATTTCAAAAAAAAAAAAAAAAAAAAAAAAAAAAAAAAAAGATTTATTGCTTTTGAGAATTGCAAACACTTCTTCCTCTCTCGAAATGTTTAGAATCTACATATATACATATATCTATATATATATACGTTGACACACTTGTATACATGTATACATATATATATATATATATCTACTTTGTTCAATTCATTGGTTTCTTGGGTATTGGGTGTACACAAACAAACATACATATACGGCCTCCTCACAACGCAGCTTAACAATCGTATAGATAATAAATTTCTTTAGCGTTTTCTCACTTGCCGGTTGTTAAGTTTTTCAGTGCACGACCCGTGCATTAGTGGAGGCACCGAAAACTATTTGATGGCCATTTAAATCCAACAGTGTGCTTTATGGCTTAAAAAATGTCACATAAACATATACGTAGCACGCAAACAAACGTATATACATATAATAAATACACTAGAGACTTGAACTCGTAGTTTTCGTCTTGACTCATACACTCATTATTGCAATGCCGTCTCCTCACTTTATGAATTTGAGTGCACTGTATATATATATATATATTTATGTATAAGTAAGTTGGCGCCACCAGTGACACTTTTATTGTTCGTTAATTCATTGAGAGGCAACAATTATTTCCGAATTAAATTATAACCAAAAGAAAAACGCTTAAGGTCTATATTTTTTTTCCTACAAAGCTTGCAATCCGATAAGCATTAAGTGAATTTTCTACCGCAACAACTTTACACGAAAGTGTTTTATGATTTTCGAGTAGGGTTTAATCTTTGGCGCCAGAGATGAAAGAAAAAGTGTTTTGTTTGAAAAGTGAGAAATAAATTCTAAAACAAACTCAAGTCGAAACTTGATAGTAAAGAAAACATTTCAAAGATTATCTTAGACTATCTTAGACAATAAACAACTATCAGCAGAAATTTTTGCCACCAACACATTCACTTCGAAGGTGCATCTCTGACTTCATAATTGTCCAGCTAATTGAAAGAATTGGAAATCAAAACTTATAGAAACATAAATAAACTATACTAACTATATTTAAAACGTGCAAACAGAATACTTAATAAATTCATATAAACGGGAGGATACAGGATAGGACGTGTCTGACTTAGATGTATCTTCTGATAGAAAAACACTGTTTAATCTCCATACTCATGCGCTGTAAATAAAACAAGATCCATATTGGATTTCATTAAGCGCTGGGCTCGTGAGTTCATCGAGCCATATGTTACGAAGAGACTATGAAATTAGTTAGACCAATATTGGAATATACAGCGGAGGTACGGTCTTCATCCTATCGCTGTAATATGAATGCAATTGACTCGGTGCCTGCTTTTTGCATTAAAGAATTTGGCGTGGGACTTCAAATCTTGAATGCATCTAATAAATAAGTCCGCCTGTTTTTCTGTCCATCTCTCTATTTGCGTCAAAAATTCTCCCGTTAGCGAAAATGAAGATATTGCCTACAAATTTGCAAAAGAATTTGGAATTGGCCTAATCTTTTCAACGCCCACACGCCTCTCCGACAAAAACTTTTATTTTGAAAATAGAAGAAATCAACTGTGCCCACTCCATATTATAGAGCATAAGAATTTTGTTCTCTTACTTGCTCTGCGTTTTTTTGGGGTAAACGGTTATGGGTTTAAAAGATTCGATCCCGAACGAATTTAATTATCTTACTTGTTTCTCTTTGTTTCTTTTTTTTTTTTTTGTATGTTTCACCTGCTAAAATTTCTCTAGTTATGCTTAATAAAACACTAGTATAGATTAATGTGAGATCAGGAGTCGATCGGGACCACTTTATGCAAAATCTAGAAGAAATCTGTATTAGAATAATCGATAGTTATCTTTACATATTCCTTTTGGAATTGAGGGAGCATTGATTTTAAAAAAGGTATGAAATAAGACGCATTAATAGTGTAAGGGTTAATTTATTTGATTGTGTAGAGAACAGTGCTTGCGTCTATAGCAAAATTTTGTTCTTATTGATAACCATTGCATAAAGGATTAATAGCGGTGTAGAAAAGGTTTATACGTCTAATTTTTCACATTTCGTTGTAGCCGCGAAATTCATAGTACGACGAAATTGATTTTAGGTTATATTATGTTAATCAAACAGGAACTCGGAGAACAGGATCCAAAATGCTTACAAGCGTAAAAGTGTTTGGTGTCTTTTCATAAGCACAACAAGTATGAATGTGTCAATTTAAACTCACCTGTAAGCTTTGGAATAAGGCATCAAATAGTGATGGCAAAGAATTTCCTAACATTGCATGACGAGCTATTTGAGGGCATAAAGTGCAAGCATTACGATATAACTGAACAGCCGAGACGACAGCTCTAAAAGAAGACAAAGAAAAGTTTTTAAATTAATAGAAAGCTTCTAAGCATACCTAGCATAATTACGCACTTCTTTGATACCTCTGAGTCCTCTTGCATACTTTTTGCGATCACATTTGTTGCAAGTGCGCCAAGACCGTCCATCAATAAAAAACATTGAAAATCAAATACTTGGGCTTTTGACATTATCCGCATTAATTGTCCGAGTGCTCGTTCCAATCCTTGGGCACCACCACCTTTATTAACAAGATTAAGATATTTTGGTACTTGAGATTCACGTTTCATATGCAATGGCACTGGCTGAAGCTCTTTAAAATATTCGTCAGCACTAAAAGTAATATAAAAAAACTTGAACATGTTCACGTTCAATTTTAAAAGATATTACCTATGGGACATTCTCAACTTCAGTTTTTTGATTTTCTTTTTGTAACCCCGAGTATGCTCGCGGCTACCAACATCGGACACGGTAGATGAAAGATCTCCATCTTCCGGCTGACTTTCTGCGCTTTCTAGACGGCTCGTAGCGTTCTCTTCCAAATTTCGCGATGGTATCGTAAGCTCTAGTGCACGCTGCCGAATATGCTCGATATTTTCCTCGTGTCTTCTTGCCGATTCTTTTTGTTTTTGCAAAATTTTTCTTTGCAATTCTTCAGTAGTTTGTTGTTGTTGCACCTGAAGCGCCAATAATCTCTCCTCCCTGTCTCTGGCTTTTTCACGGGCCAAAGCCTGGCGCTGTTTCTCTTTTTGTTCTTGCATTTTTCCGACGCGTTGCTCTTTTTCCAATCGACTCTCGTTGATTTTTTCTAATTTGCGCTGCCATTCCTTTTCAAGTTCTTGGCGCCGTCTTTCTACAGCTGCTTCCTTGGCAGCTTTTTCTTCCATTCGCTTTTGCCGTTCCTGTTCAAGATCCTGCAAACGTCCTTCAGTTTCTTTTGAAGATTCTATGAGATCAAGACGTTTGTTTTGAGCCTCTATATTCTTAATAAAATTAATCTCTTTAAGTTTTTTTTCTTCGTCGTGAGCTTTCTCGATAATTTGCCGCAAATATTGCTCACGATTCTCAGCTGCCCGCTGAAGTCGTCCCTCCATTTTTAAACGTTTATCTTCGATAAGCTGACGTTTAGCTGCCTTAACATCTTCTACTCTCGCTAAAAGTTGTTGAATTTTTATTGTTTTCTCTTTTTGCAAAGTCTCTCGTTTCTGTTGAGCTCTCGCTTGTTTAGCTTGATACTTTTTAAGGGTTTCTTGCAATGATCGACGCCGCGAAGGTGATGATAATTTTTGATGTAATTCTTGTGCACGACCGGGATGTCGAGATACATAAGCTTGCAGTGTAGCTAAAGCTTCTTCTCGCTCGCCCCATGACATTTCCGATAACAGAGCTTGATAACGCGTTTCCAAACTTAACTTTTCATCTTCGGTACTATCCTTAACGGGCACGAACACAACTGCTGATGTATTTAAAGGAATGCATGTTCTCTCATCATCGTGGTCGTCGTGATCATTTTCTAAAACGCCTACTTCACAGTCCGTCTCGTCGGTTTCAGTGTCTACATCTATTTCGGTACTTTCCAATTCTCGAATTTGTCGTTCTAAAGATTCTTGCTCTTCGACTAACAATCTTTGATGTTCATCACATTCATCATTTTCATCACAACTCGAAAGAGCTGCTGTACCTATCACTCCATTCGAAAGAGATTCTCCAGCAATGGTGAGATGGTCCGCCTTTGAAGAAATGCTTCGATAAAGATCTCCTATAGTTTTTGAGAAATCACGATTAGTCTGGATCTTAATGTCAATCTTATTGTGGTCAGCCGAAACTCCTTCTGATGGTAAAAATTTTTTACTTGATGAATTTTGGGCTTCTACAATGGTTTCCGTCGAAGATGCTCTATTAGAATTATTACCAGACTCTATGTGGCCATTACTTAATACTTCAGATGATTTTGTTCCACCGTTATTCAACTTACGTTGAGCGATTTTTTCGCTACGCATGTATTCCTTATGCAGAGAAGTCATTTTGAGACCAGTGAGATCGGATTTTTGACGTTTTATAATACTTTGACGGCTGGGTATGGAAATAGGATTGCGATCCAGTACAAGTGCTTCTTTTTTGACAGACGCTAATGTTTGTGTAGAACTCTTGTGATGCGCCGGTAAAGAATTTATTTTGGCTTTGGCATTTTTAATTTCTGGTTTCACCAGTGGCTTGCTAATTTTATCCTGAAGCCTACTTGTCTTTATGTGTCTCGCACTTTTTACATCTGTCTCCGTACCAGAAGTTGTCGATTTGAAGGAAGTAGGTTTGAGAATTAACTCTTCTCGATGGCGTTTTTCATCGAATAAAGCTAAAGTGGGCAAGCTGGCGTAACCCGTGGGTTGATTAAAACGACTTGACCAGTGCATGCTGGAGCGGCGTCTATTTTTGACCGTTAGCCAGCCATCATTGTTATCGCTGCTGGGTAATTGTTTCGGTTCAGATTTGCGTTCCTCGGCATTCGATGAATTTATACTTTTCGTTATTGAAATGCGCTCATTGCTGGCTTTTAAAGTGGATGTGGAGCTGCCAATTTCATCCCGAGATGATCTGCGTGATGACGACGCTCCGACACTGTATAGAGCACGGTTCGCCGGTACAGATGGGCGTCTGGCTTTCGGCGCCAGCTTTGGCGCTTCATCTTTGGCTTTTATTTCAATCATAGTTCTGGATCGAGCCGAAAGTCTAGATGTCGGATTCAAAGATTGCCCTGAACAATCCCCCGTCTTATTATTGGACATTAGTGATGATTGCAAACATTTCGGCTTTGAATTGCGAAGAGTCAAACGAGCAGACAGAGAGATCTTATGAGATGTAGGTGCCGTGTTTGTAGGGACTGAACGTCTTAAGTTTGCATTAGTAACAAATTTTGCACTGTGTGGGAGCGAAGCAGTTGACTTGACGGCCGAAGTTTTCGCAGAGGAAGATTTTGAAAGTGTTACGCTCTTCGCTGTATTTACATTGTTTGTAAAAGAAGCCACCGGTCTATTTAGTACACTAGAATATTTAAGGGGACTGTTAATTTGTCCCGCTGTATAGGGCGGTAAGAGCTTGTCGTTTTGGTCCACGCTGGAATTACTAGTTTTTGAATCCACTGCAACTATCTCATCCGATTTTTTCTGTGAGTCGCCCTTAATATGTGTTTCAACTCGTATATAGTCTTCTTGCACATTCGTTTCAACATTTTTCGCTAAAAGAGCATCTTCCATGCAATTTAACTGTTGAACAGTCATTTCTACTGCGGTAAGATCTCTGGTATTCTCTTTCTCTTCTAGTTTAACTAGTTCTAGATCTATTCGTTGAGCTTCTCTTTCTTCTTTCTCTCGTTGCATTTTCTCTCGAATACCGGCTAAAGTCAAATGATCATCTTCTAAATCAGTTTGAGCATACTGATGGCACCGATTTTCCAAGTGCATAGGAGGAACTTCAATGAAAGGCAGGCTAATTTGAGTGTCGTGTGGCAGTAACTCCGCTTCTCTTGATACTTCGCTCAATGGACGTTTGCTCGAGGAGAATAACTCACGAACGTTAACTCTAACCCCCCTACGAGGCGACTGGCTTTCTCCCGGCAAAAGAGATGGCGAACTTTTCCCCGAATTGCAGAGACACGGGCTGGGACTGGATTTTCCGGAAATTGTGGGACTGGATAGTGATTTGGCTCTCACGCGCGGTGCTGGATTGCTTTTACGCACTTCCCAAGCAAGAGAGTGTGGGCGTTGTTGCACTGGCTTAGACTCATAGTCCCATGACACTCTAAACCATTCACTCAAGGCTTTAAAATCGCGAACATAATTCTCTAATACTAAAATTGCTTCTTGGCACGATGAAATGTTTTCATAGCACTCAACAGTTTGGTAAATTTCGTTAACAGCTCTTTGCAAGTTTCCGAATAATAGAGCCCAATACCTAGCCTGTAATTCAGATTTTTTATCTCTACCAGTACTAGCTGAACGCACTCGTGGTCCAGTCGACTGTTTATTAGAATTACGAGGCGGTGAAGACGATGTTTTTATTGTTTGCTTTTGGCATGGTACCAAAGCGTTAGATGACTTGGGCGGTTTACGGCATGAATGCTGTGGCGGTATAGTTCCTTTAAACATAAAAACAATACTTAATTTAAATATTAATATTTCATTTTAGCAGTGAACATACTCTCGTAGTTTAAAATTCCACCGAGTGGTCTGTCGTCACATATTTGATAAACTAATAAATTTTTGGCATCACGACCCTCTCGGCATATCACTTCTTTCATTTCCATTTTTAACGAAAGTAATTTAATATTAATTGAAATACAACAAAAGTGTTACTCATCCGAGACAATGAAGAATTAATTATAAAGTAACACCCACGCCTCCTACCGTGGCACCTTGGAATGTCTTTTTATGTTCCTCTGAAGTCTGGAAAATAAAACTTTGATATCGCTCCAAACGCACCTTCTCCTTAACAATTATAGCACTATACAACAGGATACAATTTCCAGATAAAAGATCTAAATATGATAAATATATATTAAAAATATACACTTGCATACCACTTCCGAAAGTCAAAGTCACACCTTATGTTGTGTTTGAGTTTGTTTGTTTTTCTATTTGTTGTTGTTTTTCTTATTGTATATTTCGTGCTGTACGATGTTGTTTTTCGATCTTCTGATTATATTATTTGACTGTTTTGATAGCGCAACGAAAATATTAAAAACTCCATCCCATTTATAACGTATTTCCATTCTATTCCATCATTATTAATTTATATAAAAACTTCTAATAAATATTTTTCTTATCCATGAAAAACAAACATTACAACAATTTTTTATTCATAACACAGCTGTTTGCAAATGACAGCTGAGTGCTGTTTTACTTACTACGAAGGTTCAAAGGCGGCGGCTCCTTCTTCTTCTCTTCTCTCACTCATCTTCTTTCTCTGCTATATTCCGCAAACATCTAAAAAATATATTAAGCAAAATAACAAATTTCCAAAATATGTAATAAAATTACTTTACTTACGTTTATATTATAAAATCATATATTCTTGTTTGGTTATGTGTGTGTTATTTTTGTTTGTTTTATAATCAGTTTAAATTTACCCCGCCATCGTAAAATTATTTTATAGTTAAGGTGACCACATGGTCGATTTTTTGCATCTCGTATTTGAATGCATTTGCCCAGAAAATATGACAAACGCAAAAACATTTACTTGTGGATATGGAGCAAGTAAATTTTATGTGCGCAATTTAAAAAATTTAATCCAGGTCACCTTAATTCACTGCATTTTAAAAAGAGAAAAGACTATATACAAAATTATTACTGTGTTATGTTGCGTCTGCATAAGCCGCCACACGCAACTGACAGCTTTCTATGCAAGCAAATGTTAAAACTTAAATGGTAAAAGTTAAATGTAAATATATTAGCAAGTGTTCATCTAGTTTTACTGTCATAATATCAAAGTGCAAACGACGCGCTTATGACGACGTACGCATTAAAGAGGCGAAAAAACATAGCATCAAATAGAATAGCATCAATAGAAAAAATTGTGAATTCCCTCTTCTTTAATTTTTTTAAAATTTTTGAATTAATAATTCATTTTCTGATAGCTGTTTATATTTTTCTTTTGCAACTGTTTTTTTACAAACTCAATTCTTAAAGAGAGATTTGTAGAAACTTTACTGGGTTTATACTCAATAGTAATTCAAATTTATCTCTGCGAAAGCAATTTTATTGTCGCCAAATTTGACGTTACTGTGAGAGCGCAATTGCCAATAACCGCTAGCAAATTTACCGACATGATTAGATTCGTTTGGCAATTGTCGCCTACTTACGGGATTTAGTATAAATTATATTAGTTAAAAGATCTATTTAATAGAAATGAAGAATTTACTCTTTGCATATAAAAAATAATAATGATAAACATAAATAATGGCTTTTACCACCAAGTACTAAGCGGAAACACAACAATAACAAAACTTTAATGTAAGGGCATAGTTTTCATGAAAGTCTTCATAAAGAAAGGCGCCCAAAAGGTCAGCTGATGTAATTCAAATTTATTTACTTATCAAAAATTACGCAATTTTTCATTTGTTCCCGTCATAAAAACTAACAAGTTAGACTTTGTTGTCGTGTAAAGACTTGCTTTTCATAGGAACGCTAATGGGGCCTATGCGGGTCAAATTTCCTTTTAATTGTTATGCTACATTTTTACTATAGGGCAATTTTTATCACGAAAAAAATTTAAAAATGACATCTTTTTTTAAAAGGTCTACTGGTCATGTGGGCTTACACATGAAATGAACTTCTAGGAATAGGTCCATATAGTTGAAATTTAATAGACTTAATTTTTAACGTCAGATTACTGTTGCGGACAAATTCTTATCATAAATCATTAGAAATTAGACCGTTTTGGCAACTAAGTGACTTTTGTCGAAAAATCTTGAACTTTGTAAGCTTTTTTCATATAATGACCTTTCAAAATAAGTGCTTACATGGGAAGTGGTCGCAGATGGAGCCGAACCATTTCCATTAGCCAGTTAGTGTAACAAATTTCATCAAAATATCTGAAATATTAAGACCGGTAGGTTAAATGCAAAATTATATGGATGGACAGACGAACAAAAAGAAGCATTTTGCAAAGAATTTTATACACTAACCAAGGGAGAACAATACGCATGGACTATAGGTTATGTTAAGCAGGCGGACAAGCGTGAAGTTATTCTGGCAGAGCAACCTGACTATATTGAAGTGGAACTGTAAATTCTATCTTAAATTAAAATTTTCTAGACATATCTGTATACATATATTGTAGACTTCGCCACTTTGACAGTGTTACAAGTTATAAATACAAATTTTCGCAGTATGCTAGTCGCCTCGATCGTTATGATAACCAGATTGCGGAATACTCTCGCAACTCAAAATACCCGTTATTGTAAACTGTGGGATGAAAATTAATGCCGCCAACTAGCTTTTGGGGATTGGCAAGTATAGTTTAAATGTGAAAGTCTCACTATCTTCTGATACAGTACATCACGTACCCTTTCGCACTGCAACGTGAAATGCTTTCTCAGGACCAAAAGCTTGTGTCCCCAAATAAACGGTTGCGCGAAGCTTTACAGCCACGTTACTGCCACACAAGAGTGCACCAGACCAACTCACCAATTTCATTATAGACATAAAAGCCCTATTACAAAACGAACAATCAATTTCGAAACCCGGTTTCCATAGGAAGTTTTGGCAGAAAATTTTCTAAACAGAAACGTATTACGTAATGGTACAAAACGGAATATAGGAATCTTGGAATAAGTCTCGATGTTCGAACTAAGCCACAGCACAAAATTTCAAATTTTAGTTTTATTTGGTTTTTGTATACAAAAAAAAAACAATTTTATTTTAGCAGAGAATTTCACAGGTGTTCCTTGTAAAAAATTTCAAAGATAAGAATAAAAATGATGCGGAGAGAATTTTTGGATTTTTGTTGGTTCTCAGATAAATGTGGATTGGTTTTTGGTAATTTTCATAGACATTTGGTCAGGTTTTTTGAGAGACATTTTTAATTTTGAAAGTTCAATTTTTATGCTACAGGTGTATTCTCTACTATCAACTTATCTTTGTTAAATCAATGAAAGACACTTTTTTAAATTTCACTATAATTTCCAACGCATTACCCACCATATTCCCCCACCCCGCCGTGCTTAATTGTTGTCACGGAAACGAGTTCATATAACAAATAAACTTCAAATCTACGAGCTTCAGTGAAAACGAGAACGAGACGACAAAATAACTGTTTTAATGCAATATTCATATTCAAAAATAAACTATTATTAGGGTTTTGTTTCAAATTCAATATATTCAGTATTTAATCATACAGTTTGTATTGATTTCAAATGCGAAAAGATAAAATTGTTAGTATAACATTCAATTCAGCTTCCCCTGGAGACTCCCAAAGTCTCATAGGACTGAAAATGAAGGAAAAAAAAAAAAAAAAAAAAATTTCGTTAACTTCTAGGTAAATTTGTTTTGAAAATTTTGCAAACAATTACCGATTGTAGCTTTTAACTCTGATCCATCGAAATATCTGAATTATTAACGATCGTATCCTTTTGAACATACTCGTAGATTTTATTGAGTTCTGGAGAATCTTTAATTGATTTCAGAAAATCGGTTAACTGTTGGTTTTTATCTAAAATAAATTAATATATCATTAATTTTTGAACTGCAGATGCAAATAAAATCATTTCGAAAATTTTACCAGCTTTAGGAATTTTCGAAAGAGCACAGACGGCTCGAAGTGCCGAACGTTTCAGTTCATCTTGTTTTTCATATTCTTGCTTAACTGAATTGGCTTTTACTTTGTGTGTACATGTATCGCGCAGTTGCTGAACAAATTGATCAAGTCCTTCAAGAAATATATATATATATATATATATATACAAGGTGTGAGGCAATTATGGAAAAATTAATAAATAATAATGGCCAACTTACTCAGGAGAACAGCTTCTGGGCAAAGAACAGCTAAACGGGCCGTCATCAAGTATGTCAACATTTTAATATCATAATGATCACTAAGACCTGCTTGTACATGATCTAAAAATTGCATAACATCGACACGATCAAGTCCCTGCTCTAACAGAGTATACATGCACTCAAAAGCCGCTTTACGTATATCCAAGCCATCATCCACCGTATGTTTGAACGGCCCCATTTCAACTTCTCGTATAAGTTCACTCTAAAAAAAAAGTTTAAAAAATAATTAAAATCTTCTCTTTATACTCGCTATAGTCTCTATAGTTACTTTGACTTTTGTCTCCGAATAAAGCCATGGCAATAGAGTCGGCAGTAAGTCTCTAACAAGACTGGGTTTATTGTGAACGGCAGAATTGAAAGCAACTAAAGCCACACGGCGAACAGAAGGTTCAGGATCACGTAACAAGAAAAGATATTGTCCAATATTTTGCTTAAGTAATAAATCGATAGGCTGAGGTTGATCGGAAATCGTAAATTTAATGGCGGACACCACAACTGTTCTCATTAGTGGGCTTTCAGAATGAAGAGCCTCTTGTAGACGTGGCAGCAATTCTTCGGGACAAACCAACACCAATTTTCCCATACATTCAGCTACAACATTACGCGAACCTTCTTCAGGGCATTCGCAATGCTTAAATAATTGAGCCCAAATCGATGGCACCGATGGAAGCAATTGCGACAAACCATTCGATGTCACTGACAAAGATGATATAACTTCTTTCAATGAATGCAAAAGTAGGTATTGTCGTTTTGGTTGTGCTTCGATTTCATTTAGAATGAGCGGTAAGAATGTATGCAAACTGCCAACGGCTACCGCTCCCAGTGCATGACTGGCGGCTACCTTAATATCTTCGGAACTTGCACCAAAGCATTCAATAATAGTTTGTGGTAATGACGGTATCGAACTCAGATTAAAATAACGACCTATTTCACCAATCGCCAATAGACAAAATACGAGTTGAGTGTCTCCAATAGAGGAACGCTTCTGAAGATCTCCCAAAAGTTGAGTAGCCAATGGAATGGCTTCATTAGGGCATTGCTGTGTTAAAGCGGCCACGCATCTGGCCAGCGAATGATAAGCCTGCTTATGAAGTTGATCATGCACCACAGTGGGCGTAACTGTTACAACTGGCTCCATTAACTTTTTTAGTAAAGATTGATAATCAAGACCAGGCAAATTAGTTTGAACAAGAGCTTTAAACAGTTCGTGAGTGCAAATCAAAGCTGAGCCCTAAAAGAGTAATACATTCATCAAGTATGCATAAAGTTAAAAGTCCAGAAATGCATTTACCTGCAATAATGGTGATCGCAGAAGTTGCAAAACTGACGGTAAAAATTGGTCATGAATGCCGACCAAAGCTTGAGGATGCTTGCGGGCAGCAGTTGTCAACAGAATGAGTGAGAATTGTGCTACATGTAAATCTGAATCTGAGATCAGTGGTTGGATTTCTGTGATGGCGGTTTGTAGTAAAGGGGGCCCAAATACATCTAATGCATAATTGTCGGCTAGTTTATGCAACAAATCCAACGAGTTTAGCTTGAGAGCCCTTTGATTCTTTCGCAAAAATGTACCTAAAAGGGGCATAACATCGTTCAGTATCGGCGTTAAGTCAATGCGTAAAGGTGAAGCGGCAATCATTGTTAGAGCTTTTACGCAACTCAAACGTGTGACTTCATTTCTTAAACGCTCTAAGAAGATGGGCAGGCATGTAGATAACTCATGTTGAAGCAAGTCGCCCATATTAGCAATTATTTGACCCATACAAGCAATCGCACGCTCTTTCACTTCTTGATCTACATCGGTTGCCTTCAATTTTAATAAAGTGGCTGAATAAACCTGCGCTGCGAAAGGAGTAACATCTAATGTTGTATTACTAGCATTAACGCTATCCAGTGGTCGAATGACTTTTACAAGTTGTTGCAGTACTAGCAAACCCTCCGTGGATATTTTATAGAAAGGATCAAACACTGCGCTAATTACCAATGGCACTAACACCGGTATATGAGGATGAAAAACATGTGCTTGATGACCTTGCAATAGAGAACAAAGGAACCCGAGTGCATCAATTTTCATATTGCTTGTCGAGTTTTTATCGTTTAAAGAAAAACTTATTCCTGGCACAATGCTTTCCAAATGTGGCCCCAAACTGCCAGGCAATGCATTCAATAATTCGCGGAGCAACAAGAAACAGTCTTGACGAGTTTTCATAGATTTTTCGCGCATTAACGGCTGTACTCCTTTGATAATGAACGGAACTTGATCAGTTAATAAAGTAATGGAAGCAGGCACCTGTTCCATCGAATCCGGATCGTGTGGTATATCATCCGTAGGACGTGTATTCTTTAATAATGCCACGTATGCATGAAAAATGTCTGATTTTACATTTTCTTCACGTTCTTTGAAACGAGAAATCAGAGCTGGACTTAGATTACGATAGAAATCTTCAATCATGTCGTGCCTTGTGGCAATTATCGATTCCAAACATTTGGCAGAGGCGCGTCTTACTTTCCAGCTCATGTCATCGTCATCACTATACTCCTCACTGTCAATATACTCATCTTCCTCGGTGTCCATAGAAACAGTAGCATCACCATCGTCTGCTTCGTAATTATAATTGGGATCGTAGGTCAAATATTTCAAACAAAGCTCCAAAATCTGAAGAAAACAAAAAAAAAATCGCGAATGTATTCATTACCCATCAGAAAGAAATTTTTTAATACCATTTGGTTTTTAAATATGCTAGACGTTCGATTAAGAAGACTTACCATTGGAATGTGTGGCCGAATAGCCTCTGGACAGCGAATAACGAAAGCCTCACATGCCTGCAAGCAAAATTCACGCAATTCATCGTCATCACGTTGACTGTACTGTTTAAGAAGAATCATAGCTCGATCGATATGGTTGCATAGACGATGCCCGGCTTGGCGGCTACGGAGATATGAACAATTATTGTTCCAATATAAGTTTACAGAAAAAAAAGAGGAAAAAAGCTGATGCTCTTACCAAATTGATGCTAAACATTGTATATAAGTGCGCACTGCGCCTTGATTCGGCGGATTTTCTAAACCCTCGAGCAAATGATCAATCACACCATTGTAAGCGGTATTACTGGCCAGCGTAAGCAAATGAGACAAAGCGACTATTGTTCGTTTGCGCACCGCTTGCCGTGAGGAAGCCAATTGTGGTACCAATGCCTTTAAAATGGTATTATGAAATGGCACTAAAAAGTCTCCAAACCGTGAGAGCAGATCGGAAAGTATGTCCAAAGCTTCCAATTTAACAGAGACATCTTCCTTTTCAATGGCATTGCTTAGTTTACCCGTTATTCGCTGGCATACATTAGGAGCAAGAGAGTTTGATGTCTGAGGCAATTCCGATATAACCGTTTTAAGACCAATGCTTGAAATGTCCCGTAATTGCTCGGTATTTGATATCATGTTGGCACAAAGCGAGTCAACAATCGTCTCTACTTGATTCTCTTTTACTTTGTTAACCAAGGGACCGAGACATTTCACCGCAAGATTCTGAACTTCACCATTTTTGTCCTCCAATAGCTTAAGTACCATTCGTACCACTTTCTTTTCAGATTCATCATCCAATTTAATGCTGTCCTTTTGTAATTCGGTCATCAAATCATTGGTAGCCATAAATCGAAAATCCTTATCACTGGAAGTCATCTGTTTATATATTGTTGAAAATAATAAAATAATACATGATATATAATCCTTTACAACTTTTGTTTTTTCATTCTTCAGCCATTAAGAAAAAAATAAAAAAAAAACATTCCAGCTCCTGTCACTTACCTTTTCTAACAAATTGGCGATTTGGTATTGATGAGACCCCATTTTTGCTATTACGATTTCTATGTATTGACAAAACAACAATCATAAAAAAATATTTCACGGGCGCTTTTGTTTTATGTTTAATTTTTATTTATCTCACAAAGAGAATGAATTTCATAAAGTGTTCGATGTAAGTGAGATTATGGTTCTTTCTTTAATGTGGTTTTTTCTTTTAGACAAAAAGGATCTAACCGGCAACAAAAATATCCTCTGCTTCTACATAAATGTAAAATAAAAATTTGACGAAACCTGTTTCAGAGTTACAATGACCACAAACTTTTCCTCCTTTAACGAAAATGTTACCCCAACAATATTTTTAGATGTTCTATGTTCGTAGGAATTAACAGTCATCTGTAAACTTTTGTGTCTTCCTCTTCTTTCCGTAAAAATTGTAGCTGTTTGCCTATCAACAAATATAGGAAACGACTTCCTTTGTATAGTAGAAAGAAAAATATAGAAAGAAGAAACTGAAAGACGACACACGGCAAGTCCTAAGAAAAATAATCGAGAAAGTTGCATTATACCAAAAATACAATTCAACCAAATCGGTATAGAATTTATAAAGAACTCTAACTTGGCTTCATTTTCGTAAAACATATGATTTTAAAAATTTCAAAATATAAATCAGCAAAAGTAACTTTGAGAAAATTCTGCTTTTCCTAGTCAAGAAGCATTGAATTTAATTAATAATAATTGTTTACTGTTATTTTTTTCATGTATAACGGGTACATAATTCGCTAATGGGACACATTTATCATGGCCAGTCCACCCATTTTTAGTAGCCTCGTATATTTCGCCACAAGAATTATTATTTTTATTGTTTTTTTGTCTTTACTATTATTATATTAATAAGAAAAATTAAAAAATCATGTTATAATTTTTAAATAATACAAAACGTCCAAGACTTAAATCAATATGGCATAGAAATCCGAATTACTTTCGAAACCAAATGTCTCATTACCGTTTGGTTCTAACGACAATGTATTTTGAATATCCAGTATTTAGTGATTTACTTGTGTGTTTGTTAATTCCTTATCACATTTTAAATCCTTTCTCCTGTATAATAAAAAACTCCTCGCAGTGGCAATAAGGTACTCTCTATGCATAAGTTTTCGTATGTGTTTATACGGCTTTTTATAAACTGTATACATAAGGAGCATGACTTTGTAAACGCCTAAAATAATGCAATCATTTTGATAGAAATTTTATAAAAGAAAAATGAGTGAATCGAATATGTTTTTTCAAATGTTTATTTACCGTAAACGTAGTTTTATTTCAATAGATTAATTAAACAAAAAAAAAAAAAAAAATCGGAACCAAAGTAAAAAATAGAAGGAAGCGTAAAAATGTTCAGAAATAAAAATGAGAGCATTGTGTATAAGTGCACAGTAAGACTGCTTGAGGATGCTGATATACTTGAATGTGAATTTCAGGTAAGTTTTCAATTATTTTATGACAATTTCGAATGTAAATCTGCATAATATGCAAAGGACAAAGGCTAATATATGTATTTGATTTAAATAATATCCGTTTATAAAATGCTTTTTGATAACAGCACTTAATAAAAACGGAAATTAACAGCTTATATAGCTAACTAATGTCCACCGTATTGAAATTAAAGTCACCAAAGCTTCATATTTTTCTTAAATAAAACACTTTTTCTTTTATAGACACTCGAGATTGTGTCGTTCATAATTTATTGTTTGCCTGTGACGGATTTAATCGACTTCACATATACAGTTATACAGTTGGTATCATCCTTATAAAAACCAAATGTCAGAAATTGTCTCGAATAGATTTATATTTGCTTACTAGCCTAACCTACCGGCTCTTAAACTTTTAAAATTACATCCATGAAGCAGAATTTTCCGCTTCATTGAACAATTTTTTTCTGCACATTGCGCAAAATATATATATATGCATATATATATTCAATATTTGGGAACATTTTTGACCGGAGAATTAAAAATATTCTATAGAATTTAAATTTATTTTTGTGAACGGCAATGGCAATAGCATCGGAATTATATATAGATTGCTGCTTATCGGATATACTAAGCAGAATCGGCTTAAATTTAAGATGAAAACTTTTGAATAATTTGGAACAGTTAGGAGTGATGCGAAGAGAACTATAATAAAATATAGTAATGTGTGCGTGCGGCACGCATTTAATAACCAAATAAAATTCCGCAATATTGATTGACTGCTACGGGGTTTATTTAAATTAATTAAAATTTCAAAAATTAAAGGAATAATTTTATTGAATAAAAGAAGCTCACAACCTTCACTTACAAGAATTTACTGAAAAGAAGAGATTTGCAATCAAACGATTAAAAATTTGTACATAAATATTGTGATTATTGTGTATTTAGCTGGCATACAGATGGATTATCCTTATGAATAAATTTTCATTTTTAGTCTTTTCATAGAGGCAGCTATTTGGTGGAATACATATGCGAACAATTGGAAATTAACGAAAAAGATTATTTCGGCTTACGTTATGTTGATGCTTCAAAGCAGAGGGTAAATTGATCTCACTTTTAATGCCAGCAATATGTTCGACTAATGAATTACATTTTTTGGGTTTATTTCGTTTGCAGCATTGGTTAGATTTGGGCAAATCCATAATAAAACAATGCAAAGGTAATAGTCGTAATAGACGTATTAGGCGCAGCTTGTTTATCGAATTTTCTATTTATTTCTACTTTCTTCTTTTGTAGACATAGATCCATTTCTGTTCTCTTTTAGAGTGAAATTTTATCCCGCGGATCCATTCAGACTAACAGGAAACGGACGATTAATGCTTTATCAGCAGTTAAAGCGCGATTTACGTCATGGACGTTTATATTGTTCAATTGGTGAAGCTGCCGCTTTGGGTTCGCTCATAGTCCAGGGTAAAATTGAATTTATATTTTAAGGTTTTTTTTTTATTTTTATTAACAAAACTTATTAAAAACATAGACGCGCAATCTTCGAATAATGCAAATACCTTTTAAACCAAAATTGTTCTCTTCATAACGAAGGTTTTAAGAGAGACGAAAATTCTTAAATAGTTGGATAAGAAAGAACCCATTGAACATACTTAGAGCGAAGAGAGTAGAAAACTTAAATTTCTCTTATGTTAAATCTTTAATGAATATGGTCGTATAAGCTTTGTCAGAGTCTTTCTGTCCTTTACGCTAAATGTGGAGATCGTTTCAATTACCTATGGTAATCCAGAGCAAAATACTATCTGATATTTCGAGTTCTCTGCACAAGAGTAATCTTTTTACCATTCATTAATTAATTGGTTTATCGTGCCTGGTTCGTTTGTGGTGTTTTTGAAAGTGCGAGTGCAGACTTATAAAAGTGGAAATCTCAAGTTTTCTAGTAATAGAGCGACTTAGATTCACTTAGTTCAAAGATGGGCCAGTTAAGCCGCTGTTTGGTACGGGAACATTTAAAATACTTAGGCTGTGAAAGGATAGATGAGATCAACGTGTACCGGAAATACTCAAGGTTTTCGAGCGATTCTCCACCCAGTGGACTTGGCCATTTTGCCACAAAGAAAAAGCCAGAGACAGTATAGGTAGGTGAGCTAGGTTAACTCGTCCACGCCCCAGCAGATCTCTGCAGAAGTTATTGTACGAAGGGACAAGCAGTACCCTGATCGAGGCTCAGAAGTCTTGTCAAGACATCGATTCTTTTGTTATCTGTAAATCGAAATATTTAGTGGGCATGTAAGCATTTTGACTTCCGATGTCCGAGAATGCCTGCCCACTTAACTGGGTTTTTTCCTCGTGTGGAATTAAATTATTCATTTCGGCATCGATCGATGCACACTTCCATTTTTCTTCGCTGATACAATGCGGATATACTTGCCATTTATCCCATAAATACTTCAATTTTTTAAAGCAAACATTTTTCTAATATGTTAAGTTAGATCAAATCGTGTAAATTATTTCCTGATTTTATTTCTCTAAAACGTTTTAAATTAAAATGCAAAAATCAAATGAAGTTTACTTTTAAGAATATGTTATTTCTTAACAGTACCTACGGTGTTGAGGTTAATTAACATTTCCATTTGATTTGTTCTAGAGGAGCTCGGTGATTATGATGAAGTAGTGCATATAGGAGACTATGTATCCTCTTTGAATTTGGCATTGCGTCAGACAGAAGCACTCGAGAAGAAGATCATGGATTTGCATAAAAAACGACAACCATATCAAGATTCCAGCGTAGCTATGGACGAATTTATGGGTATTGCGCGTGGCCTCGAAACTTACGGTATTGATCCTCACCCGGTAAAAGATCATCGCGGATCCCAATTATACATTGGTATCAATTATTCCGGTATCAGTACATTTGTTTCCGGTAAACGATCCCAACATTTTCGTTGGAATGAAGTGCACAAATTAAATTTCGAGGGTAAAATGTTCATTGCTCATCTCAGCTATACAGACGCTAGCAGAGAGCCAGTAAGTTAAACATAAATTTTTTGTTTTCAATTCCTTTTTTATTAGGAAGTATTTTTGATGTTTTGCAGAAGAAACACACCATAGGTTTTAAATGCTCATCCAATGCAACATGCAGATATCTATGGAGATGTGCCATTGAGCAAATGTTGTTCTTCACGTATGTATCATGAGGTTAATATATTAACATTCTCTCGAATTTATACAGATCTCTTAGACAAGATAAAATGTTGTTCATATCCCATAGCACTGTTTTCTTGTTGTCTTTTGTGGCTTTCGGATGGGGGTGGGTTCCGAAAAATATACCAGTGTTATCCAATTATTGCAAATCAATTTTCTTTAAGGAATGCTAAAAACTTGAAATTTGTTTCCGTGGAAAAGTTTATCGTTTATACGGGAGAAAGTTCAAAAAATTGTCTTTTTATACAAATTTTCCATCCTTCGCCGACTAAGTTTCACACGTGAAATATAAAAAATGATTTTTTCTTTTTAAATATCGCCTTTTATATAGAGTGTCGGAAAAATGGTCGGATCTAACCTCATTTTCGTACAGTTCGTTCTTAGTTCAAAACACGTCACTGTACTTAGTATATATACATAGTCTTCAGACAAGTACAGACCGACAGACACGCCTACATCGAGTCAGGAAGTGATACTGAATCTGAACATTAGTACAATGAAAGGAGGAGCTATTTCAATTATGGATTTTGCGTACATCTGAGCAAACTGTATACACTCTTGCCAATGGCCTGAGGTATGAAAAATCATTCAGGATGTTATCAAGCAATAAAAATGAAAGCGTACAGAATATTTAGTAATGGAAAAATTTAAAGTTCATTGCGCTTTTTCAAAATATTACTTCTTATTTTGCTTATAGAGAACACCTCTGTATTATTTTGTGCCATTTCGTAGAGTCGAAGACTCGTAGTTTAACACTTATAGACAAATTCGCTATGTAGATGGTAGATATATTTGTTTTAAAATTTTCAGAAGTCATCTTTCCAAAGGTAGCACCTAGTCCCGTGTATTCTAGCAAGTAGTTATGTTTTCCTCTTCTCCTATTCATTTTGATAAGTATTCCCGGGGAGTGTCCAGGAATTGTAGAAAATCTGTACTAAATGGAATTTATTGGTTTCGTAGAGACTTTCATGCGGGCAAAGTTTTTTTTTATATCACTTAATAAATATAAGCTTAAAATATTGTTTACATTTCCTAGGCTTCCTAATAGTCAGCATGCAGCCGTTGTATCCGGTGGTGGATTCTTTTCGTGGGGCACTAAATTCAAGTATACCGGACGTACTGAACGTGAGATACTTACTGAAAGTATTAATGCACTGCGTAAACAAAAGATGACCAATTCTGAGGCTAGCAAACGTAAAGCGAGCAGTGTACCAGCTACACCTTCCAGTCCCCAAGGCGACCTAGCACAAATCCGTAAACTTTTGCGTAATTCATATATAGCATCAGACGATTATAAACATTTAAATTTACATTCAGGCTATAGCAGTTTACCGCGTTCGACAATGTCTGAACCGTTGGGGAACTGTCATATGGCAACAACAGATAGTTTAGGCAATATTGTTTATAGCAATCATCCACATGACGTTATGGGTGGCGGGGGAGCAGTTCAAATACCTAGCCTTGAGCCGGTTTCTGAAGAAGCTCGCTTACGCGCCTCATCAAACCTCGATAATCTTCATCAATCTATAGCAAGTATAGGTAACGGTGGTGAAGCAGGTGAATATTATTTAAAAGGTGATGCTATTGAATATTCCGCACCGGAATGCGCTGCGATTAATAATCTATGCGAAGGAAGATTGTCGCACCAAAGCACCAAAAACAAACGAAATGAATATCATTCGTACGGTCAGCAACATCAGGTTGCGTATGCGAGTGCTTGCCCAACTGTATCAGATGCTTCCAAATCCGCCACCCAGGGAAAAGGAGTGGAGAACCAATACGATCGGCAAAACGCTGCCAATTGTGCCAAAGGCGTGCGAAAATTCCGTTTTCTAAATGCTTTCATTCCATCCTTTTTATTTGTCATTTTCGCAATGACAGTGTCTGCCGTCGTTATTTTAGAATCGGAATCAGAAATATTTGAAAGGATTCGCAATATGCCCGAAATGATTAGTCTACGCTATCAGTATTATCAGCCTCTAAAGGAGTATGTGTTGCAAAAGTTTGGCCGTAAATCATAAAGCAACAATTTGCAACGTGATGTGTTCAATTCAAGCGAATATTTGTTCAGCCATACATACATACATACATACATACAATGTACATAAGCACAAAAATGAAAATATTACACAAAATCTTCATATTTCTATACGCTTGTTTCATTTCGTTTTTCCCTTGTTTTTTTTTTTTTTTTTTTTTGTTTACATATTTCTAATGGATGATGATGCTTCAATTAATTGATCGCTCCTAATTAATTAGTGTTATACGATAGCGTGATAGTGATGTTTATATTCCGTATTTATGCCTCCATAATAAAAAAATGTCCACGTCTACTTTGGATCACATGGTCAAAAATTTTTACTACGAACTGTGGGTTCATCTCCAAGGTGCAATCAAAGCTTAGATGGCTTTTCCCGCCATCCTAATTATTTGTCAAAACATTAATCGTTGACTATGCAAAACAAGAAGTGGAAGTCTTTGATCACCTTGGAGTTAGTCTCGGGCAAATGGCAACAAACTAGTTCGTCTGTCCATGGAATTTGTCCACATAACAAAAATCTTGAAAAAATTCAGATCAAATGTTCTCAATTCTGTCAATTATTTGCTTAAAGCTTCAAGGCATGCTCCTATTTTTATTTACTTCATTTAATAACCACGGCAGCGTATGAAACGTATCTAGGCGAGTAGATACTTCTTGAAAATAAATGGGAAAAGTCAAGACACATATTCATACCATCAGGAGACACGCGGCTAATACATGATATCACTGGTTAGACAGACACAGAGAATTAAATCGGTTCAGAATTTCGCCGTGATCAGGGTGTTAATGGCTATATCCCGATTATTATGAACGAGATAATAAGATAACTTAGGTATACCTTTAGATAACCGAATTTCACTTAGTTAATGGTCATTCGCTAACAGAATGCAATCTTATTGGAAGCTTATTGATAACAATCGACATATTGTACAAGTATTAAATCTGATATATATATTTTTTTTCAAATATAATATTGTGCGATAGAAAGAAATTGAACGAATCAATAATAATAATTTACTCATTAAATATTAGTAAAAATTTAACTAAACAATTTCAGTTGAGATTCCTTTGCAAGCATCTATGCGGGTATTAAGGGCTATTCGTTTAATTATTTATCAAAAGAAGGTTCAGACTATTTCCCGACTTTTCAGCCTTTACGAAATAATCGTCATACGTTGATAAAATTATCGGAATAGAACATCAATACACACATAGTGCAGTGTATGTATTGACATATATAATATATATACACACATATGTCTACAAAATTTTAATTTAAGATAGAATTCTACAGTTCCACTTCAATATAGTCAGGTTGCTCTGCCAGAATAACTTCACGCTTGTCCGCCTGCTTAATATAACCTATAGTCCATGCGTATTGTTCTCCCTTGGTTAGTGTATAAAATTCTTTGCAAAATGCTTCTGAATGCTTCGCTGGTAATGCAATTAAAAGTCCTCCTGAAGTTTCCACGGATGTACCATTACGCAATTTCGTGTCAAGTGACAGAATTTTTCCGAATTCTAGAACATTTTTCAATATCGGTAATTTCGTGACAACAAATTGTAAACGTTCTTTCTGAAATACTGCCAAGTTTCCTGCGTGTCCCATTAAACCGAATCCGGTTATGTCGGTAGCGGCGTGAGCTTCATATTTGTGCATAAGTTTTGCAGCTGGAAATATTTTTATAAATACGCCAGCAGTGTACATCTATATTAAAGGATATTTACCATCTCGATTTAGGAATGTCATTGATTTTAAAGCCATCTCGAAAGTTTGGAAAATAATTTGATCAGAAAAATGTTCAGCCAGTTTATGATATTTTTCATTTTTATCGTTAAACCAAATGTAAGCGTTTGTGGCCAGTTGTATTCCCAATGGTTTTGTGAGCACAAGATGATCGCCATCTTTTGCGTTGTAAGGCCTAAATAAATAAATATACGTAATTTGAATCCGAAAATTTTATCTCTAATGAAAAAATTCTTAGCCTAAAGGGGAACAATATTGATGAACAAATAGTTTTGCGAATTAAAAAAAAAAAAAAGTTCATTCTGTGAAACAGGGTTTCATGTTTCTTTTGGTTTCTTGCATACCTTAGTCCTAATTGCGCAAATTCTCGGAGAGTTACAGAAAGACTTATTGAAGTATCCAAGCAACAATGGAAAGTTTTTTTTTAATTTTTTTAATTCGACCGTTTACTTCGACTACTATTCTTATCGGGAGTCTCGCTGCGACTCGGTTAACTAAACTAAAGTTACCCTATTCTACTCTTATTCTATGTCTATCCTACTCTTATTCTATCTTACTCTCTAGCACTCCCTCTCTCCGCAGCCAGAGATGGAGAACCCGTGAGGCCAAAACGAGGTACGACTTTGGGTCCTCACAGTAAGTCTTAATCTGGCGCTCTTAGAGTGTTTTGTTTAAAGTATAGTAATGTACATAAGTTTGGTTTCAGACGCAAGACATCTGCATGTATGGATGTATTTGTTTTTCTGTGGTTATAGTTTTTTTGTAACTATTTGTCAAATAAAAATATTATCATTTTAGCGTTCATTTTAAATGGTTATCTAAAGTAAATTCAAACGTATGTCTACTCAAACTACTTGGACGTGTGTACTTACAATATTATCTCAGATTGTTTGCAAATGGAGGTCGCTATGCCGCCTATGATGCACCAAGGATTGAGGGCTATATTTTGTATGTTTACGCGGCAACCAGCTAGTTGAGCGGATTCTTGGAAACCGTCAATAATCATTGGCAATACGATGTCACGTTCTTCGTCGGATAATTCAGTGGGAGCAGATATAATCATATTTAATTTATCAATTTCGGTTGTACCAATGGCATAAACGTCACTAACAACGTTGGCTAAAGCTATCTTGCCCATAAGTTTTGGATCATCAACAAGAGGGTAAAAAAAATCTACAGTTTGTACTAAATAAAATTCTTTTTGACGCTGGCATTGTACGACAGAGCAATCCATTCCGGAACCTAATAATTTGTAAGAAAAGATAAAATTCATTTGCATTCCAAAGTAAAAAAATGGTTAATTTTATGGTTTTATACGCACCGATGGTCTCAACATTTTCGTTATTGGTGGGGTTTTCATTGTTAATTGGTTTTAATATTTCTGTTCCGTACAGATACTTGTTTAAAGTATCCTGGGGAATCTTGCAACCTCACCCTCTCAATGTTGAGAACTGGGTAAGCCGAAAATCATCCCTTAAGCCCCAATTTTCAGGTTTAAACATTTTCTTATTCAATTATGTTGTTTATACACAAAATATTTATATTTCCTATATTTCTATTCAAGTAAATTAACAATAAAAAAAAAGGAAGTGCGTGGTAAAAAAAATATTGCGTTTGCCTTTTTCCCTTGAGTTATGTTGGCTGTATTGCTAGAGTTTCCTATCCAATACACTTTATCCAACACAAATTTTCTTACCCTTGGTTTTTGTGGATTTCGGGTTAACGTGTTTTCACAGAGTTCACAGAGTTGGCAGCCTTGAAAATTGCTTGTTGTAGCAGAGTTGCACGTTTGTTATATGAAAAGATATATAAAAAATACGTTTAATTTATTTAAGGTTTTTTTTCTTAATTTGATAACATTACTGTATATTAAGAAATTAAAGAAAAAGGTTAACGTATTTCGTTAGTACAATATTCCATATGATGAGTTTTACGGCCATATTTTGGGACTGCCATCGGTCATGACATTACATGATTGTTTTTACATGTCAGCGTTTTTACGATATTATCCTAGACTTGATATTCCGAAACAAAAGTGATAATAAAGCATATTACTAGCGATGGCGCGCTGATTGTGCTCAAACCAAGGCTGTAAAGCAGTGTAAGACGGAAGCCAAAGTGCACGACATTGCACACCGTAGCGCGCGCATTGCATATATCGGATAAGTAGTAGGGAGAACTAATCAGCTGATTAAGAGCCTTGATATCTGTTGCGTCAAGATTAATCCTAAGATTAGTCCTAGAACATCACATATTATAAGGGATTGACTTGACTTGGACGTTTTTCCATTATTGTCATAGAATATTTATGGAAATTTTTATAGTTTTGCCTACTGTAATTCATGTGTAATGAGTAAAAAACTTAATTTCTATTTTTGGCGAAGGTCTTATCCGCCTACGTTGTACTACAGGCATGTCTTCTCACCCGATTTGGCGTATCTTTATTACCAATGTACCTGTAAGAACTCGCAATGTTTTCAACGAATTTGAAATCGATAGTTTAATTTCAGTTTCCGAGAGAGCTTTCATCGCACTTTACACGGACGGACGGAGGGACAAAAAGCCGATTTTGAATTCACTAACGAAGTAGGCTTAAAACAGTCTCCTTGTCATTCTTCTTATGGTGATGTTATGCTTCAGTAAAGCGACCGAAAGCTGAACAAGCCTTTTACGTTTGAGGTTATTCTTAGTAGCACCGAGTCTTGTCGGTAGTTAGCACACGCGCTTGTTTAAAATTATCATCAATTATTTTTATTCTTTTACTTATCAGACAATAACTTGGGCACCCACTTTCTTAGAATATTCTCTTTTAAGATGATTTTGTTCTATATAGAAAAAAAAAAGAGTTAACTTGTGATGCCAGCCAACGGTTTTTAAATGCATCACTCTTTTACTGAAATGAAATTTTCTTTTGCCCCAAGCGGCTTACAGTTTGATGCATGAATGATTAGCATTATTATTCCCTCGCTGCAAATACTTAACATATGTATGTTTGTTTATATTATTAGCATTGTATATAGTGCAGTGCATTCACATGCAACAAGTTCGTATGGAAAGTCTTTCACATATATACACAATAATACAACATTTCATTCATCAAAAAGAAAGCAAGAAACAGTTCTTAAATAAAATCATATCATCATTATTAAAACCATTCTCACTGAGTGGTGAACCAGTGTGTGCACAAGAATTTTCATAAGATTTATTATTTTTATAAAATATTGAAGAAAAAAAAAAAAAATAAAATAACTTTATGTGATTTCAAGTGTAATACTTACTTTTAATTATTATTAATATTTGAAATAATGTTTTATTTATGCTGTAATGACATGAAAACGTTTTTTATCATAAAACTTGTTTGCCTATCGGTAAGTTATTATTACTTTACGTAGCTGCTATATAAAACATCTATTGGATAATTCTTGAATATTACAAATAAATATAACGGATTGCATTTTTTTTTTTTATGACAAGTCATAATATAATCATAAAACAGTATTCGTATGATGAATTATGCAACAAAACTAAGGTATGTGTGTTTGAAATTAAATTTAATTTGAAAATCACTAAATGATGCGAAAGATTGCGAGTGATTTTATGGATTCCGACAGGAAGGCAATTTTTTTTTTCTTTTACTTAATATATGTGTGAGTGTACTGTTCATATACAGTATTAATGTGGAAATGAAAATACCGTAAACTACAGCGTAATACTTTTTTATTTATATATTATGAGGAAAGCAATGAACTTTTAATTTGTTAAAGACTATATCAGAAGCATTACAACTTCATTAAATGACAGGTGTACACGCAGAGATCAAACGATTCTATTTTCGCGAAATTTTTTCTCATAAAAATTAATAAACGACGCTCTGTTTAAAATCACTTTGGTCAATTGTGTATTCAATAAATCAAAACGAACGGTCCTATTCTCATTTCGGAATACCATAACCGTAAGTATTTGAAACGTCACTCCAAGTGCAATATGATTGTATAGGAAACCGGCGTGCGGAAACTCATATTTCTTTGTAGAGCTAATTTTCAATGAAAGCTAATCCATTGTCAATAAATCTTCTCCAAAATCGATCGAACATCAAATGCTTTTTTTCAATTTTTATTCATGAGACACCACTTCCCACACTTTTTATCTACTTGCATGATAAATGAAGTAAAAACACTATAGTTGGGCACGGCGCATCGTTAAATATCCTAAACTACCCTATAGTTGTCCATAAATCGCTTTTTTAAAATAAGCCTTTATACGCGAAGCGGTCGAAAAATGTTCCAATCCGAACCATTTTCAATAGCGTTCGTCCTTGGGTCAAAAAATGTCCGTCTGACAAGGTTCACCGAAATATCGTAAATATTGCGGCCCGTACATCGGACACAAAGAAGTAAAGGCAGTTAGGCGGGACAGAAGAGCTTATATCGATCCAGAAAACGCGTCTGAATCGATCTATATATAATAAAAGGTGAGTATATCTCATATCCTTCTGTGTACTACAGATACTCGCACAAACTAAAAATATCCTTGTACCACAAGTAGTGAAGGATATGAACGTCTGCTTGGGACACTCGTAGTTCAATGCTTTCCATGTTTTCACTCCTTATGAGGATTAAGAGGTCTTTGAATTGCCAAATATACCTGATTTAAGTCAAATGAAGAAAGGTCTTCAAAAGCGGGCAAGATGAGAATTCTTCCCTCCCGAAGGATTGACGAAATTAAGCGAATGCAGATTAGAGGGAAAAGTTAAGAAATATGCAGTTTCCGATTAATTCTTCTTCGATTACCATATTCAAGATTTTTCCGTTGATGGATTCATAGTTGTTCCAATATAAAGAAGTAAGAACGTTATGCACGCTTCTTGGTCGATCTTGGGCATCCAAATCGAAAGAGATGATTGAAAGCCTTAATCTGCTTAAGGGAGGAAATTTTTGTGTGTATTTTATATTAAATAAAGTAAATATTGCTACCAATTTTGAACGTTAGATTAGTGCCTTTGTGATGAACGAACCAACTTTTTCTCCGACCTTGGATTAGATGCCAAATTTTATTTTTCATTTTCAGTTTTTGAAATCAAATAAGCGAGAACAGATAGACAGGCATGCCCAAATTGACTTTTATTTTTAATTTACCCCAGAACCGTCTTAGCCGTCAAGCGTTAGAATCCGATTTTGTCCATTCATAAGAAAAAAAAAACTTTTACGTAATTCCTGCATTTTTGTAATAGTCAAAAAACTGGGAGTCGTTGTTAATAATATCGGTCATATTTTCCATTTTGTATTAAAGCTATATAGATTGCGAAAATCAAAGTAGATAACTGAAACCTTTTGTTATGGTAAGCATCTAACCAGGACTTGTCCTGAGTGGCTGTTCATTTAAAATAATAATCTTGGCGTACCTATAAAAGCCGTGAAATTTCAATTCTGAATTTCTAGATTCAATATTTGCTACTAACACTCTCCAGCGACTACCTAGAGCTTCATGCAAAAATAATCTTGATCGATCGATGAAAAAAGTTTTCAATACTTCAACCGCGTTTACGGATTTGTATGATAGATAGATAGATATTTGGTATTAATTCGGAGGCGAATATAGCTTTTTATATAACTGAAGAAGTCTCTCTCTACCGACAATTGAATTGTGTTCAAACTTTGCGGATTCACCCGCTTTAAAGGCGCGGGGACATAAACCTATAATATGCAGTTGAAGGGAAGGAAAAATTTGTAATATAGATTAAAAGTAAATGCAGTTGTTTTACGCTAGAAATTGATTTCAGAAGAAACGAATTTTTTCAATGATATACCCACCAGCTGTTAGTTAGTGGTTATAAGAATCTTATAAACATCCAAACATCAACTTCTTCGTCTATATAATTGTCTTGTCTTGTCCGATTGTTATACGCGTATGTATATATATATATATATATATATATATATATAGGTAAGTATAAAGATATGCACATATATTCATGTTTATGTATATAAATGTGAAATAGAACAAAACAAGCGCATGCGCGTGCATTATAACGGATAATTTCTTCTATTAATTCGTTCAAACATAAAAAAAAAAAAGGAAAAAAAAAAGAAAAGAAAAACAAAAATGGAGCAATACGTCTATTTACCTCGTATGCATATTACACTTGAATACTCGTTCAAAGATTTGTGCATGCATATATGCACATGTGTTTATGTAACCATCATATACTCATATAAATTCTGTGAAGTTATTCCGGTCTATTTCCAATCTACTCTCTTATGCAGATCTTTTATTTATTTTTTTTATTTATTTTTTTTTTTTTTTTATAAAGCATACAAAACTATTTAAATTCAATACATTCAATTGTAAAATGACCAACACATACCGCTAACCAGACAATCACAGAAACAGACATAAATGTATTATATCAGACTAGGCTGTCAGTGTATGCGTACATATGTATTAAAGAAGTTAATACAAGCTGGTAAACACATAATCAATGCAATAAAAATAGAGTTATTCTTCATAATGATATAAAATAGTTTATATAGGAAAGTTTCACTTCATGTACGATGTCTTACAAATGACTTAACGGTGCACTACTGGAATTGTGTCCCAAAATTGTTTTGCAAAAGTTGATTGACTTTGAAATCATT